CACAGAAAATCTGGAAACTCTGTCAGGTTAAGCAACTGCAGTTTGAAAATTTCTGTTAAGTTGAACTCCTTGAAATAGCAATGCGCTATTAACCCAGAACAGAAACCCAAAATGGACATTTAGGCATCACAAAATGTGGCAAATAACAATTTAACAAGTGGGATTGTTGCCATTGAGGCATTGACAATTTAGGCATGTGATTGATGGTCTGACAATTACAATCATCTGGGTTTCTTCATTGGGTTTCTTTGGTGGGTGTAAATAGATTCTCTTCAAACTATTTGTTGCTTTTTGTTCCAAGGGAGAGCTATTTTCTAGATCTAGCATTTCAGAATATGTAGCCAGTTGTAATCATTTATATTTTTTGTATCTGACAGGGCAATGTCAGTTGTTTCGGTTGTTCTGGGACGAACATTTCATTATATTGATGGCGTTGTTCCATTTAGGTATTTCTGGTGTTCTTGCTATGAAGAATCGATGATCTTTTTGTACACTTGGACACTGTTAAAAATTCTATTAGTGCAGGTTTGGTGAGACAGACTTTCCAATTGATGATTTTGCAGCAGTTTGCCTCTTGGTAACTGTCATCAACTCCTGCTGTCATATAATAAAGAAAACAATAGTGGACACTAGTAGAGCCATGACAATTTTCACCTTTTTGTTAGATGCCAAATCTCTAGACCCCTAGATGTTATTTGCACATTTTGTGCATACAACTCCATAATGTCATGTTTGCTTGACTCAAATAATTTCAGGTTTACTTTGGAGTTACTACATTGCTTGAGGCTGCTTCAGATGATGGACAACAAACCACGGATGAACAAAAGGAGGTGACCTATTGACCGCACTCAAATATTCCCTTGGAAATTTAATCTTAAAAAAAGAAACATGGTTAAGATATTATGAAATATCTTATATTGATGAAAGCAAATAGATCTATTTCAACTCCAAAACATTTGGTATATGATACGCAAGCCTGTTATCATATTTACAATGAAATTGACATGAATTTTCTGTTTATATGAATGGATATTCAGTAGTCTGGACTACTAAAAACTATCCTACTGCAGTGCCCATCATGGTCTTTTTTGATGTGTTCTTTAGAACACTGATCTTTTGCCACATATGATTTACTTTTTGTCTCTTGTTTTTGAACTCCAACTGGATCCTTGAATTTTAATGATGCCCTTATCCAACATATTCAGAGAGAGTTTCCTAGTGGAGTTTCTTTTCATCTCCTCTTTTTCACATGAAGGACCAAGTTTCTCTTTTTTTTGAACTCCAACTGAATCCTTGAGCTGCCCAAAATATTTTGTCGATTGTATTCAGACAAACTTCTTGGCTTATAAATTCCCATGTTAACAATTCATGTGGACTGACACCTGTGTCTGTGAACTGCATAATCTCTGGAGTCACCTATAAATCCCCCTATATTTCACTTTCTGTTATTCCTTTTCCTTTCTTAATCAGTTATTATAGTTCTTCCTTGTTTTGCCTATTAATCTTTTATTTGGCTTTTCAGATTTTATCACAATTATTTGTAGGTCTTCCTCTTCTTCTCCATTCTGCAAATCAAGTGTCCATATGAGTTATGAGTTATTGAGTCCTTAGCTTGACTGGCCTTTTCTAGATGTACTCAATTTGGTAAAATGAACTCACAATGATATTGCCAATGCAAAACTAGGTGTCGTTGTTGGATGGACATTGAAACTAACACCGATCCTAATTAAATCAAACCATTGGCTAATATATAATTTAAAATCTTACTGAAAATTATAAAGAAAAGGAAAAGGGCGCTTGTTTAATTTCACTTGAGAACATTAAATTGATTCAAGCTAGACTCACATCTTACCTAATCTACTTCATCTTGAGTAAATCCAAATCCACGGGTCAAATCTAGCACTTTTGTGATGCTAGTCATTTTTCTATGCATGTTACAAAGAGGAAGTTATTTTTTATGTCGAGCAGTATGTGCATGTTTTATATCTTTGAATGATCCTTTTATTCCTTGTTATACATTTAGCCAATAGTAAATTAGTGCTCTCCTTTTTGTGGTTAATGAAATTATGAAACAATGTCTTTCAAATTTCATATCAGGCAGAGTTAGCAGTTTCAGAATTTTCAGGAGATGGTGCAGGAATTATGGCTGCAGCCAGTACTGTTCTCAGCACATTCGTCTTGGTCTTCGTTGCTGAATGGGGTGACAAATCCTTTTTCTCCACAATAGGTGAATAGTGATATCTATCTATTACTTGGTTTTTACTAATGTCTGGTGATGTTAAAAATGACAGCTGAATTGTCTCTTATACAGCACTTGCTGCAGCTTCTTCACCTCTAGGTGTCATTGCAGGGGCAACTGCTGGTCATGCTCTTGCAACTTTGGTAAATAACTGAGACAGGATGTAATTATTTTTACAATTTTCTCAAATATATGTTAAAAATATTATTCTTTATATATGATAAGGATACACTGGTTCACTTTTATGTGCAACCACAAAATAAATGTTGGAAATTTATACTTGTTTGCTACTAAATTTAACCAAACTTACATATTGATTATATCAATCTCTATTCAACTCATCAGTTGTCTTTTCTATTAATCTGTATCTTATTATCCATTTTTATTTATCTTATATTCTTTTTTTTCTCATCACTTCATTTTACTTCTTGGTGCAAATAACTGTACTCTTCCTTTATAAATAGTTACCTCACTCTAGTTTATTCTACCACATCATTCATGCATAAATCATTCACCCAAGCTGGTAAATTTTGTAATGAACGCAAGATGTTGCCATGTCAGCATGCCCTTAATTAAAAAAAGGTTATAATATCAGGTGGAGTGATTTGCAAATACTGAAAGAATAGGTTTCAATTTGCATTTAGCTCAAAGGGGGATGACATATATCTGAAAGATCCTTTCATGTGTGGCAAATGGATCTTTTATTCATTATCTAGGTTTAGTTCATTTTAAATAAGTAGCTTTGAAGTTTCTTCCCCTTTTCATGAAACATGACAAATGGATACTTTCATGCTTGCAGCTTGCAGTTCTCGGTGGTTCTTTGCTAGGAACATTTGTCTCTGAGAAGGTAGTTACTTAAGCAATGTCTTTATAAAATGTGGTCCTGTGAATGTTGTAATTTCTGCAAATGTGACCTGGTGATATATGAAGTAAATTTGATTCCTTGTATTTTTATTTTTGGCTCAGTTGAGCCACGCTTATAATTACAAAGGAAACATGTTCTTTTTCTCTTTATCTTAGATTACCTCAAAAATGATCTAATAAGTCTTGTATATGAGCAGATAGAGCATCAAAAAATTTAAGCCAATTTTGAAATAATACAAAAAATAATAAGATTTAACTCCAAGCATATTACTTCCTAGAAGCGGAAATATAAAGCTGTTAATGTGACTGCACTGACAGATTTCATGAGTTTGTTAAGCTTTCTTTATATCTATGCTTTTAATTTTTTGTTTAAGTTTGACCTGTACATAATCTAAGACAATACTTTCAATTTCAGGTTATTTCTTATGTTGGAGGAGTTCTTTTTCTAGTCTTTGCTGCTGTAACCTTGATTGAGATTGTAAATTAGCTAAAGTCAACTGGCAAGACAGGTTTACTGCAGATAGATCTTAAGGTGAACTGATATTATCTTGTTTACGTAACTGAACTGATGTGACACTTTACTGTTGCTCATTTAAGATGAGCACTTCACAAGATTCTAGTTTCGTGTTTTAATATATATATATATATATATATGTATGTATATATATATATGTATGTATATATATATATAAATATATATATGTATATACATATATATCTGTATATACATATATATATATATATATATGTATATATATGTCACTGCATACTCCTCATATCATATTGAGCTTTAACTTTACCGCATTAACTTTCATTATACTCAACCAATGTTTTATTTTGTTTTCTTTTCTTTTTTGAAATTAAATTTTGACTTTTACTAATAATTATCGATACCTGCATGTTCTTTTGACTAGGTCAAGCAGATCTTCATGAATTGCTGTGGCCCTCATCAAACACAGATGCTAAAATACTGAAATCATTAGAGAAACTTGTGGTACCTTTTTCATCAGCTTCATGATTGAATGCTAGCCCAGAGTCATCTCAAATTCTACTGGAGAGGTGTGCCTGGATAATTAGATAATGAACTGAATGAAGAGGATTTGGAGCAAAATGAAAATAATGCTATTTGCTGCCAATCAAAAGTTCCAGTGGCCATTTGGACATCAGGTTTTAGGTATTCTTTTTGTACAGAACACGATATTACCTTCGTGGAAGGATGATAACAGTCCTCAAAAAGTGAATTGTTTTAATAAAATTATTGAGATGCCTCCTAGCATGAGTTTCTTTTTATTGAAATCTTGATTTAAACTTTGCTTTCTTCCTTATCTTGATGTTTGCAAGCATAAAATTTCTCTTAAATCTACCATGGTATACTTGATCCTGGCCAGTATTAATATGTGTTTAATCATATTCTTAGTGACCACTTAATTATAGTTATTCCATTCAAGCAGCTCCAAAAACTTATCTGATTGCATTCCAAACCTTCAAATAAGACGGTGGATGTTAAATGTAGTCCAATATTGCCCACTCTGGTGCTAAATTTTCATATGTTCATCCCATCGGAGACTTGTGCATGCAGCTCTCACTCCATTCTGATTTAGTTAGCTTACAAATAATTTCTTACCTGAATCTTAACACCTAATAGTCACATTTTCGGATGAGCATCACTTTACAGAGATTGGAAAGGGAAAGAAAAAAGTTTCGGTAAGGACAGATAGAACTCTCCCTGATGAGTATCATCACTACAGACTGCAGATGGTAGAGATTACTGGTTAGTTTCCTTGATCACTTAAAAATGACAAACACTGAAGGGGACAATATTTGAAGTCCAGAAACAAATCCTGTTATTGTAGTTTCATGCTCAAAGACCACAGGTAATGATACAAGTACTAGCGACTGACTCTTAAAAGTAAATAGAAAAGTTGTTTAACTATGGCCACATTATTATTTATTTACATTATGACAACCACCAAATTTATGAAACCCAAACATTGATGATGAAAACAGAGACACGCTTGTATGACTAGCAGAGAGTCGTGACACTCAGAGAATGAAACACTGGAAAGAGATCAGTTTCCGACCAGATTGCTCGATGCTTCCATCACTCCATTACGTATCTGATCAGTTACATCTCTCACATGGCCGGGCCCATGAGGAATGAACACGGTCGTGTTCTTTGATGAGTTTCCAAGCTCTTTGATGGTGTCAAAGTACTGTGTGACCATTATTAGATCCATCACCTCTTTAGCAGAAGTGCCAGACACTGTGTTAGAGAAGTTCAAGATGTTATCCCTTAGTCCCTCGGTTATAGCCTGGCGCTGCTTTGCTATCCCAACACCCGAAAGATATTTGGCTTCAGCCTCTGCTTCGGCTTTCTTCACCATCAGGACCTTTTCAGCTTCTCCTTTGTAGACACTAGCAAGCTGAAGCCTCTGGGCTGCAATTAAGAAAGAACAATTGAGAGAATGCTGGAATAGGAAGGAGAAAAATCATGGACTTAAAACAACTATTAATATCTACAAGAGCATGGTAGCTAGCAAACATGTCATCCATATGTTCTTAAGGTTTTGGAAATGTAATCCATTCTAATAATTTCTGGGGTCATTAGAATGAGTTTACAACCTATTTGTCAAAAGATGTCAATTTTGCAGATCAGTTACCGATCAGTTACCATGTTTGCTTCTAGCACTATTACAAGTTTACAACTATACAATAATCGGTCCTTCTCATGACAAATTAATATATAATACAAATCATATGTGTATAGAGATAAAACAAGGTGTTTCCTTTGAGGAGTCTTTGAGAGGATCTAATCTCCAAAGCATCAGGCCAAAATGATATTCTAATTTATAAATAGGGATTGTTATGGTTCTACATACATATAGGTTCCATTACGTATAATCTGTTAAGGTGGCATGATTGGATTACATTAAATCACCCTTTTATATAAAAATAAAAAAAATATATGCAATAATCAAAACTAATGCGATGAGAACTATCTTCCTAGACGCTAGCAAAAGAAGTCTCTTCTTCTTAAATGAAAAAAAAAAGTAATCATGTCATCAAAAAATACTACACTTTGGAACATGATTAAACTAAAAAAACCTACCGGATCGGTTTCATAATAAAAATGGTGTTCTCAGTGCACGAGGCTCCCACAAATGTAGGATCTGGGGACGGTCAAAGTACGCGTTCTTATCTTTAAATATTTAAAGAGTTTGTTTTCATGACCCGAACTCTAGTCTCCTAAGTCACAGGTCGATTTCACAATGAAACTATTTATACAATATGGCAGGAATTTTCTATAACAGCTAAAAAAATTTATATGATGCAACTACAAGAATTTATCAACAATAAGTAGCATAGCCATCAACGGAATATCCTATAGAAATTGTAGTAGTCTATATATGCACGAGGAAATACTAAACCAAGCATATTAAATACCAGCATTTATCTCGTTCATCGCTCTACGCACTGAGGCATCTGGTATAATATCAACCATGAGTATCTGCTCAATGTTATAACCGTACCCACCCATCACCTGAACATAATTTCCATTCAGAAGGACATAATTGTCAATATAGGAATATTGCACAATCATTATGATTAGTAAAGACTGCCTAGTATCACTTGATTAGAAGAGATGACAGACCAAAACAATTATAAAGTTCAATAGTTATGCAAAAGTCAATTCTAGCAACAAATAACCAATCTAAACTTTGCTTTTTCAAATTCAGTGCTTAACATTGGTTACTTCTTCAAATCAAGTGCATAACATTGCAGATTTATTAATAACTAAGCAACAAAAGGAAGGAATCCAATCACCATAACAATAGGTAAGTTTGGTGAAAATGCAAAAACAGCTCAAAATAGAAAATAATAACATTTCAAAGAATGTGTAAAATCAACTGAAAAATGCAATCAAATAACAAACAGGATGCACACATGTTAAAGCATCAAAACTACAAAAGCTTAGATATGATATGGTATGGAAATGGTAGCAAGAAAAATACTTAACCCTCTAATATTATATATGACTATGTAAATACACAGAAGTGAATGAGGATAACAAACAACAAAAATGCCCGATAATAACCAGGGACATTAGTGCAGACAGGTGGAAATTTACAACTGAAGAATTCATAATAATCACATAAAAGTACTAGCACATATAATTAGTACTTTGCAAGAATAACATCTGTATCAAAATTTGGTCCCAGAATAATAAAAACTATTAACATGAAGAACAAGAGAGGAAATAATGTTTTATATTGCAAGTAAACTAATGTATTTAGAGGAGAACTGCACAGTTCCCAGTACTGAAAGAAGAATGGATGTCACTAAGATACTTGTAATAAATACCTTTTCTAGCTCCTCAAGGACTGCTTTTGCCACATCACCTTTTTGCTCAAAGAGCTCATCAAGAGTCATTCTTGGAACATGGGCTCGGACCACTATGATTTCAACCAGAGCAGGCATGATATTAGACCAATGTGTACGACCATTACAAATGAAACAACATAATTCAAAAACTTATAACCACCATCAAAAACATAAGCTTGGATCTGCTCTTGTGGATTTTGCAACTCATAGAAAGCATCATCAGCATTTTCTTTAACGACGCGATACTGAATCGAACAAACCAGTTGCACAAAAACATTATCCTGTTGCACAGAACATACAGTGTCAGTAACCAAAATATTCCAACATAGAGACCATATAGGAAACCAATCGAAGATTCCAGAAATAATGAAAAATGCACGAAAAATTTGATACTAAGAGAAACTTTGCCTCAAAAAGGACCAAGAGGAACTTTTGTGTGGAGATCTCATCATTCAAATTGACCTGAATGAAACTTGAACTTCAAACCTTAGGCTAGGTGTGCATATGCAAATGACATTGCTGAAAGCCAATTTTTATGGTTTATTTTCTACAAGGCCTAGAAGGCCAATGGGACAAAATTTTGGTTTACGTATATAATCAATAGTCTTACATTATTGAATATGAATAAGCTGTGGTTGACATTACTCTTCAACTCAATTCCCAGTGCTTTAGGAGATCTAAAATGCTGGACTTACCTTCCTAATGTCCTAACCGATTTCCATACATAGATGAGTTCGTTACATTGAGTCTTATAGTAATCCTATGCAAGGTTTGAAATTTCATACCGTACCGGTATATCGAGCTTTGCTCGATATGGTACGGTATGTCGTACTGAGTGGTACGCCATGACATACCAAACAGTACACCTAAAAATAAAAATAAATAAATAAATATATATATATAATTAATATATAAAAATATAAAATATATTTTTATATTAAAAAAATAAAAAATCAATATATAAAAAATATTAAAAATATATAAAAATATTAAAAAAAAGGTGTACGTAGCCTCGATGACATTGCCTCCTCTTCTCCTCGTTGCCTCGTCTATGGCATTCGGCGAAGACGTCGAAGGCCGCAAACGTCTTTGGCCTTCAGCAAAGAATGCAACGAAAGCCGCAGACGTCTCCGGCCTTCGGCAAAGAAGGTCGTAGAGTCGTAGACGAGGCAATGAAGGAGATAGCCTCTTCCGCTGCTCTAGCCGCCGCCTCCCTTGATCCCTACGCCTGCAAATCCTCCTCTTTACGACTCTTCTTGTCGTTACCTCCTAGATCGGGATCATCGAGGGAGGGCGATGCCGGATCGGGATCGAGAAAGGGCGTGGAAACAAGTTCGCGCCGAGGTTCTCCCAATTCTCTCTCTTCTTCGAACGCCCTCTCCTTCTTCCTTCTTCAACGCTTCTCCCTCAGCCTCGCCGCTAAATTGAGCAGACCGACCAGTAGCGGGCGATCCGCATACCGGTTCACAGGCAAACCAATACGTACCACCCGATACGGGCGGTACGATTCGAAATCGCAAACCTTGATCCTGTGTACCATAATTGATGGAAACACCAATTAACATATGACGATGATAATGATAATGGACCATTTGGTCGGTCGCCCACGCGATAACGGTCGGTAGCCACCTCAGAGTTGGTGTGGCATCTCGAAGCCGACATGGCGCCTCGGTGCCAAGGCGCATGCGTGGGTATAGACTTGAAGGGACATAGCATCCCCGCGACAATGTGAGACCATGCCCGCGCCGCCCAAGGTCGTACAAGACAGCGTCGTTGGTGTAGAACAATACAAGTCGACCCATGTCGCCCGGAGCATCAGCGGCCATTAACGACCTGAGTACGACCAACTCCCTATGACAAGTATAAATATCGACCCCCTGGTTAGTGCTAAGGGATCAGACCTCGAACACAAGAAACACCCATAGATCCACCTCATACTAACTTAAGCTTCGGAGGGGTCGAGTCGGGAATTTCCCTCCCGACATTGACCTTTTGTGCAGGAAGGCAGCACTGAAGCAGGAATCCAAGTCCCACCTCGGGTCGGCCCCGGAGACGCCAGCTCCGACCTGACCTCGCCCTTCCATCCCCATCTCGGACACCCACGTGGATGCCCTCACACAATCAGGACCGAACCAAGCCGTATTGACCCCCAAGACATGACGTGAAGACACCAACATTTTTTGCGCTAAAATGAGGGCACATCTTGTGAAGCAGAGCCCGAGTCGTGCACCTCGGTCAAGTAGAGCCCGAGTTGTGCACCTCGGTCTTGCAAGACCCGCTACGGCAGGCGTGAGCTTGAGTCGTGTACCTCGACCAAGCAGAGCCCGAATCGTGCACCTCGGTCAAGCAAAGCCCAAGTCGTGCACCTCGGCCAAGCAAAGCCTGAGTCATGCACCTCGATCGTGTAAGACCCGCTACGGCGGACGTGAGCCCGTGTCATGTACCTCGGCCAAGTAGAGCCCGAGTTGTGCACCTCAATCGTGCAAGACCTGCTATGGCGAACATGAGCCCGAGTTGTGTACCTCGGCCAAGCAAAGCCCGAGTCGTGCACCTCGACGAAGCAAAACACGAGTCGTGTACCTCGACCAGAAGACTCACTACAACGGACGTGTGCCCGAGTCGGGCACATCGGCCGGAAGACCAACCACGACAGACATATGCTCGGGTCACGCAGCCCGGACGAACAGACGACTTACTACAGCAAGCCGAGGAAACGAAGACGAACCACCCGACTCGAAAAGGGCCTACCACTACAAATCTCCTGCACCTGAAGGCACCACGGATCCAGCCGAAAAGCAAGGACCCTGATCACCCACAACATAAAAAGACGTATCTTGAGCCCCCTATGAGGAACTCGAGGCACGCCTCTATGGGAGGGGAGAGAATGATAGGGAATATTCTGGTACCGCCCACGCGGCGACGTGAGATCATGCCCATGCCGCCTGAGGTCATAGAAGACGGCGCTGCATGGCGTGGAACAGTACAGGTTGACCAGTGCCACCCAAAGAATATGTACCACTGGTACCACCCATAGAAGACGGCCCGAAGCATCGACGACCATTAACGACCTAAGTATGGCTGACTCCCTGCAGTAGATATAAATATCGACCCATGGTCAATGCCGGGGGATCGAACCTCGGACACAAGAAACACCCTCAGATCCACCTCATACTAACTTAAGCTTCGGAGGGTCAAGTCAAAAATCTCCCTCCCGACGTTGACCTTTTGTGCAAGAAGGCGACGCTGAAGCAAGAATCCAAGTCCCACCTCGGGGCGGCACCGGAGATGCCAGCTCCAACCCGACCTCGCCCTTCCATCCCCATCTCGGACGCCCACGTGGACGCCCTTGCACGATCGGGATCGGACCAAGCCGTACCGATCCCAACGACACGGCATGAAGAAACCAACAGGTAACATAGATATCCTTATTGCAAATGGCATCTTCATACACAATTATCTCCTCTCCGTTCCACCAAAAGAGTGAAGATCAAAAGGAGAAAAAAGAGGTGAGTAAAAATGAAGAAGAAAAATATGAAAAATTAAACCTTTGGCCACTATGATCATAGAATTCGTTACATACTAGTGTGAGACCATGATTGGCGATCAAGCAAGACAGAGGGAGGAATTAGAAGACCATGCATGCGATTCAATTAGGTAAATATCCTAATCAGATCGATTTCTACCGAAGCGCATTGAATCAAACCGAAGAAACACATCAGGTTCATTAAATAAGATGGAGGAGGGGGAGGACAGGGACCTTGGTCTTGGTCTCCACGCGGACGTCGAGCGAGGAGACGCGGGTGGAGAGAACGCCGGCAAGGCACTCTCCGGCGAAGGGGTTGAAGAAGTGAAGGCCAGGGCCGGCGAGGCTGAGGAAGCGCCCCCACTTCTCCACCACGCCGATGCTCGCCTGGTCGATGCAGGCGCAGAACACGAAGAAGGTGTTCACCATTTCTGCTCTTCCCTTCCCTTCTCCCTTCGCTTTACGCGGCTGCCACAAGAAGAAGCCAAATGATCGCCTCCCACGCGCAACGTCCGTGACCAGCCGTTTGACCCTGTCACTCGCGTTGGGCGCCGGATGTGCACCCGCATGTTATCATCAATAACTGTGCAAGCCCGAATCCGAATGTTTTGCCTCACGGATTACGCCCAGTCGGCCCGCAGGATTCGATCCGGTCCGATTTTGTCCGGCCCGAGTCGGCCTGCTCTGGTGCTGGGTTAGCGTAGGCGGGAAGGAGAGCAAACAGCAGAGCTCTTCCCCCAAACCCTCTCTGTAGAGAACCCAGGCGCTTGTTTGGGAAGCTAACATCAATTTCCTCGTTCAGGTCGCCTCTCCTTTCCCCACGATTTCTCCTCGAATCCTCTTCCGCAATGGCTCGCAACAAGGTAGGCACCCAATCGCTAACCCTAGCTAATTCCATCTTCAATTAGGCCCCTCATAGTTAATCTTAAGCAGTGTTTTTTTTCCGTTCTTTGCTTCTGCATAATCAGTTATCATCGATTTGGTTTTTGCATGAATTACCTTTGGTTACCTTTCTCTCATGTTGTCTTCCGTTTGAAATCCAAACAAAAAGGTGTCATCCTTGAGCTCGAGCTTCATCGTGCCTACGAATTTTAGATATTTTCGCATCCGATGTCTATCTGAACGATATCCGAACTCTTTGCTGATCGTGGCTAATATGTGCCAGTAGTTTATGTTCGAATCTGCCGTTAGATCGCTGGCTTTGCTATTAGATAGGGTTTTGCAACTTTGGTTAGCATGCTATGTGTGCTTTGATTTTCTAGCATCACATTGTTTTTGTGTCCTTCCATTCCCATAGGAGTCGCTGGTTTTGCTGATTGATGTTGGTCCCTCGATACATAGTGTTCTTCAGGACGTCGAAGGTGTTTGCTCAATGCTCGTGCAAAAGAAGGTAAGGAATTAGAGTCAAGGCTTTATTTTTTCTCTGTGTAGACACAGTAACTTCACGAACTGGTTTCCTTATATGAGTCCATCCTTGGTTTATTCTTCAGTACTGAATTTTGCTATTCATCTCATGTATGGAAAAAACGAATGATTTTCTTTTTAAAATTTCAGGTAATTTCATTCTCATATTTTTATTTCTTAATGAGATCCAGATTAATGTTGTTCGTTATTTTTCCATTTTTGCAGTTAATTTTTAGTAAGAGTGATGAGGTTGGAATTGTTCTGTTTGGAACTGAAGGTAATCTTTACCTGAATGTGGTTTTACTTGTTCACAATTCAGTCATTGAAGTTGTTGCACCACATTCTAAGATCCCTACATCTGTTGCATCACTCAAAATTTTGGTAGCCTGGCTTAACCAATGGTTTTTACCAATTTTCTTTAGGTTCATCTTTAACACTGCATCAAATGTGCATATAAGAGCTTAGATTCTTAAGGTTTTACCAGTTTGCATCAAATTGATTTTTACCAATTTGCTTGAGGTTCATTTGATATGAAACATCCAAATGGAGCACAGATTCTGACTTCTATTTTTCCTGATTTTTTATAATGAGGAAAATAGTGGTATTACCGTTTAGACAAAAATTATTTCTCTTTGTCATTTTTTATCTTTTTCTTGATTTATTTATTTTGTTTTTCTTTTTTTTTGTTGCTATCAATTGAAAAGCTTGTTTGATGATATTAGAATGGAATTTTTAGATACTAACAATGAGCTTGAGAAAGAAGTGGGTGGATATGAACATGTGGCGGTTCTACGTGATATTAGAGTTGTAGATGATGATGCAGTGGTGGTTTTGAAAAATCTTCCCAAAGGAACTTTCCCCGGTGATTGTATCCTAATTCAGCTCATTATGGGCATCCTTGGCATTCCTTTCTGCTCTAGTCTTTGTTCTAGCTCTTGTTTTTGAATGGTTACTGCAGTGCTAATGTTGAGTCCACTGTAATGCTTACTTGTCTTAGTGTCTTAGTTTCATCTCTTTTATCTGGCTTAGGTGATTGCATATCCATATATAGGCTTATGCTTCCAATAATACAAATAATTGTGAGGAACTATTTTGCTCTTTCTGAAACTGCATTTGTGGAACATTTCAAACATGTGCAAGAATCACAAATTTGATTTTTTTAACAATATTACCGTTTTTATTTTTGTCTTCTGCAAATTATTATGTTTCTTTCCTTTTTTAGGCAAATGCAACATCTTCAGATAGCCATAAAATCATCAAGAAGATGAAATCTTGGATGACTTTTTCTGAGATCTTTCTGATTTTGATGGCATGTTTTACTTAAGGTTGTCATCTTCTATTATTTTTTAAGGGGGATACCCATGTTTCCTTTGTTGTGTAGTTATTGTTTAATTGTTTTTAATAAAATCTATAGCATCTCTTTGGGCAGAAATCTTGTGCCGTAGGATCATATATTGATTGCAATTTCTATGATCCTTGACTTGTTGCTAGTTTTGGATGCCATTGTGGTTGGGATGGATATGCTGATCAAGAAATTTGGAGTTTCAGACAAAGGAAAAAAACGTCTTTATCTCATTACTGATGCACGGTTTTCTACTAAAGAGCCTTATGAAGGGACAAAAGAAGATCAGGTCGACACTATCTCTCAACAGATGAAAGTTCTTGGAATAAGGCTAAATTGTCTGATCATCAGAGAAAAAATATGTAGTACTGAACATCTGGGAGCAATTGATGAGAATGACAAACTCTTGGATCAATTCTCAAGGAAAGCAATGGCAAAGACAGTACATGTTGATTGTGCAACATCATTGCTGGGTGCTATCAAAACACGAAATGTAGTCCCTGTCACAGTATTCAGAGGAGACTTGGAACTAAGCTCAATGATGAAAATCAAGGTGAGATCGAGATATTATTTAATAAGCATGAACAGACTCATAATGACTATATGTTTGTCTATGTTATCTTTTATAGTTTTGTTATCAGACGAGATAAATAGGTCCAGTGGTCATACGACACAGACTTCCACTCTATAGTGTATTATTTTCTGCAATAGAAAAAGTACTTGAATGAGAACCATGTTTTTCAATTAGTTATTTCGACTTTGTTCAATTGAGGCTGTAGTAAACATGAACAGACTCATAATTACTCTATATGTTTTTTTATGTTATCTATAATATAAAAAAGTAATTGAATCAGAATCATGTTTTCTAATTAGTTATTTCCGCTTTGTTCAAGGAAGGCTGTAGTATAGATTTGTTGATACTCAATAGTAACTGGTGGTTGAATGAATATTTGTTTCATTGTCTGCTTTTCCACGTTCCTAGGTGCCAACATTTTTGGATCTGAATAATGTGAACAGCCATATTAATTACCGGAATAAATAACAAGATTCTCTATTTAGAATTTGGGTTCAGATGGTTAGTAATCAACTTCTATTCATAAAAGATAGTCTTTGCATGCGTGTGAAATTCTATACGAGTTTTTAGGGCCTCTTCCATCTTTTCTATCTCCTATCTATTGAGTAGGGCTTTTGCACAATTGACTATCCCTTGTATATCAAAGTGATTGTTTAGTTGACTATCCCTTGACTATTTTAAAATTTTCAAATTTTACATGTGATTTTTTTTAGGGCCTTTTCCATCTTTTATATCTCTTATCTATGGAGTACGGCAATTGCAATTTACTGACCCTTGTATATGAACATGAACCTTTAGTTGTTTGACATAGGCTTCCATATATTTCTAGACTTTGTTAATATTATCGTTCAAACTTCAAACTTTGTCAAGTTGTATAAAGTTTAGCATTCTGCTTGCTGCAATACAGTTCTTTGTGTTATTTACTACTATTTAGATTTATACTTTTACTGGTGTTTCATATTTTATTTGTCTATGCAGGTATGGGTATATAAAAAGACATCCGAAGAGAAATTTCCTACATTAAAAAAGTATTCTGATAAAGCGCCTGCAAGTGATAAGTTTGCTACCCACGAGGTTAAAGTGGATTTTGAATATAAAAGTTCACAGGATCCTGATAAAGTTGTCCCTCCAGAACAAAGAATTAAAGGTTATCGTTATGGGCCACAAGTAGTTCCTATATCATCTGCCGAATGGGAGGCAGTCAAGTTTAAATCTGAGAAGGGTGTCAAGCTTTTAGGATTCACAGATGTTTCAAATATTTTGCGGTACTTTTCTTTAATTTAAGAAGTCTTATGACAGACTTTAATGTTCTAACACCATATTCTTGTCAATTGAAGTTCTAAAGAGTCACTTAGGTGCTAATGCAATTTAGGCAGGAGACCCCAGGTTAGATGTCGAACTCAAGCCAATCTAACCCTAGACTTAACTCCAAGGTCAGGCAGGGTTGGAATCGGTTCCCTTATGGTAGAATTTTGCCATTTTTTGATTTGTCAAGGATGATCTCTGCTGGGGTTTTACATGCATTTAAAAAAGTTCATGATCAAAGGAAGAGATAATATGCTTCAAGGGAATTGCTGGGATGGTTCTGCAAGGACCCTATCAAGCCTAAAAAACATAAGAATCTAGGACAGATAAAAGTGAACAAATGGGGGATGGGTCCAAGTTATTAATGTCTTTGCATGTACTTCTATATATTATGTCATCTACTGATATCGTGTCATTTTCTTCCATGCTGAAACATGTGAGGTTCAATAGGAGCAATGAACAAATAGGGTTAACTGTAGATGACATCACTAGCTTTATTAATATCTATTATCAAAGCAACCCAATGCCCTTTTTCTTAACCTTTCATTCTTTTCTTTTTATGTCCTGGACGTTAACCTTTTTGTTTATAGCATCATCCTGATGTAGAGCTTTATTCAGTTTTACTTATGTACTTGGAAATGGTATGTGAACATCTTATCCATATTTATAAGGTTTAGGGTAACTGTTGCTTGAATATATGAGAATCTGAGGTTCAAGTTTAATATTTGTTGTTTTAACAAACCTATTCTGATCAGGGCATTTGTTAGATTTGACAGATTCTGGTTCTGATAAAAACTATGACCTGCATGCAATACCTGAAACTTGCTTTTGACTAGATAGCTTTTGTACTATCTTTTGTGTTCTATCTTTGTGAAGGCACTATTATATGAGGGATGTGTACATCTTTATTCCTGAACCTGGGAACACGAAAGCAATTATTGCAGTTTCAGCTTTGGCTAAAGCAATGAAGGAAATGAATAAGTCTGCAGTTTTGCGGTGCGTATGGAGACAAGGTCAAGGAAATGTTTCTGTTGGGGTATTGACACCTAATTTATCTTCCATAGATAACATTGTGAGTTTATTTTATTTCAATTCATCTGCTTTTCTTAAATTTGAATTCTGAAAGTTATTCTGTATTATGATAAATCTTAAATCACTCATCCATAATAAGAAATATTGGTTACTTGCTCAGCCAGATTCATTTTACTTCAACATACTTCCTTTTGCTGAGGATGTTCGAGAGTTCCAGTTTCCTTCCTTTAGCAGTTTCCCATCATCATGGCAGCCAGATCAACATCAGCAGGAAGCAGCAGATGACCTTGTTAGGATGTTAGACCTTGCACCTTTTGATAGAAAAGAAGTGCTTCAACCCGATTATACTCCAAACCCAGTTTTGGAGGTTTGCCATCTTTCCTTAAGATATCACTTTGATTATTGATAAAATGAGCCAACATGTTTTTATGGTAGTTATTTACAGATTTTTTATTATATTGGTATAATGTTAGGAAACATTAGTAGCATTTAATTTTAGATATATGCCTGTGCTATTTTGTTTGTGCCTGATATATGACAAGGAACTCTGGTGTTCTGACCATTATTTCATGTTATAATTTTGTTTCAGAGATTTTATCAGTTTCTTCACCTGAAGTCAAAGGCTCCAGAGATAGATGTACCTCAACTCGACAGAAGTCTAAAGCGGATAGCTGAACCTGACCCTGATTTCCTCTCAAGACACAACTCTATTATTAACAATTTTCAGGAACGGTTTGAGCTGAAGGAGAACCCAAAGGTTTATAATTTGGGAATGATTATAAATTTTATTCTCAGTAGGTCACATATTCAGTTGACATCGTAGTTTTTTTCCAGAAAAAGAAGCTGTCTAGACAAGCATGGAGGGAAAAACCATCAGCTTCAAATGATGAGAAAGTGGGTGTTGATGGTGTGGTTCCTAAGGTTCAGAGTTCTAGTTTGAAAAAAAGCTTATCTTCATTAGAGGTAGAAAAAATTGGGGATTTGAATCCTGTCCAAGATTTTGAAGCTATGATGGCACGCAGAGACAGTTCAAAGTGGATCACAGAAGCAATTAAAGATATGCAACATTATATTTATCACCTGTTAGAAAATTCTTATGAAGGAAATTCCTACCCCAAGGCAATTGAATGTTTGATGGCACTTCGTAAAGGCTGTATTCTTGAGCAGGTAACTACTTTAACCTAATCATCCTCCCAGTTTTTTGGAAAAATTATTGCCATAATTAATTCTCATCGCAACTATGGTTGTATTTGCTGTTGAAAATGAGTTTCTAAAATGCTTAAACATGTTAGTCTGAACATTGTTAGAGATTTTTCTGTATCTGCAGTATTTGCTGCTATAAATGGCATACGATTAGAAAATTTGGGTTCTCTTGATCAGGAGAATCAGTGAGAACAAAAAAAAAAGGAGGGAAGAGAGAAGAAAGGAGATCTAAATGTTTCCTCTCATAATGTATCCTTATTGAAGAATTTTGTCACCATGCTAAAGCAGAGAAAACTGATCGACTCTGTCATACTTGACCAGAAAAGATTAGACATATTTCAGGAAATCAGGCTTATGTTTCTAAACCAGCACTAGAAAGTATTCACTGAATGTCATCATAAATCAAGCAGGAATTAGAGCACTATTTCAGTAGAACTTAATATTTGGGATGTGTTATCTCAATAGAATAGGGAAATAAATGGCTTTAAGGATGTGTGAGCAGTTTGGACACTAAGATGCATTAGACACAAAAACGTGTGATCAATGAAATTGCAGCTAAACTAATTAATCTGGCTAGATTAAGTGTACTATTTGATACTTATCGTCCATGATTCATTTAGACTATAAGCAACCATCTCTAGAAGTGGAGATATAATCAACTTTGTTGATCAACATAAATTAAGTTACTAAAGCTGAAATTTTTTTCATGCCCTATCTTCTTTATACACCACTGAGATACATAGTTTGCATTGATTAATGGATCAACAACTTTTGGGGTACATATTTCATCATATCCTTTGGTTGGTGCAATCTAGAGACAAAGTTTTCTTTGCTTAATGGACTAACAACTTTTGGGGAACATATTTCATCATATCTATTGTTGGGTTGGTGCAATTTAGGAGCTGACGGTTCCCTGTAGCCCTTTTCTCAATTCCTATTAAGGGTGTAACATCCCATTAGTCTAACATCGGAAGTGGGCAATGTGTATGATTGGCTTATATGGGCCTGATGAGTGTACTACGTTAACTCCCGCTTAAGCATTTTGGTCCGTGGTTGAAGGACCAAAATGGAGTTATTGGTCCGTTGGCTCATCAGACTCGGGTCGTGACATTTGGTATCAGAGTCGACCTAGCATTTGGGCAGGGTGAGAGGGCTCGAGTAGGAAAGGGCTACCTGTGGATGGAGTCAGAGAACTCATCACGGCGTGGAGCCACCACTGAGTTAAACCTCATATGCACTATGCTAGGGTTCGATCTGGGATATGTCGGGCCTTGACGAGGACGTCAAGCCAATTGAGTTGGGGATATTGTAACATCCCATTAGTCCCACATCGGAAGTGGGCAATGTGTATGATTGGCTTATATGGGCCTGATGAATGTACTACGTTAACTCTCGCTTAAGCATTTTGGTCCGTGGTTGAAGGACCAAAATGGAGTTATTGGCCAGTTGGCTCTTCAGACTCGGGTCGTGACAAAGGGTCCTGGATGGATTATTCCATCAAAGCGATGAAGGGCATATTGTTAATGTCGACAAGATATTTTGATTATTATACATGCAGTCAAATGTTTTTCTTGCTTTGTTAACTATGACAAACTTCTTTATGTGATGTGGAGGAACAAAGTTCTCAATTTAATGTTAATTCTTAAACGAAGCAAGTTAGTTTGATAAGTTCAAGGGAGGTTTACGTCTTTATTGTTTTTAGCAATCTTTGTAACTTTTGGCCCTTATTCTTTATTTTATCTGAAAAAAAGTGCAAGTAATGTGCACTTGATCATTATCTTGTTTTATTCTAGTCCTTTGCAAGCTTGCACCTGTTAATTAAAAGCCATGGTTTTTGTTTGTGTAGGAGCCAAAGGAATTTAACCGATTTATGCTTGATATTTGTAAGAAATTTCGGAGATCTGACCTAGCTGACTTTCTTGAGCTTCTTTATTCGAAAAAGATACCATTGATCAGCAAAAGTGAAGCAGCCGACAGGTTTTTTTTCTTTTTTTTTTCTTTATAAATAGAATTGTACACCTACTTACCTCTTTTATGTATGGTTAAGAAGTTTTTGATTTTTCTGATAATCCACTTTGATCTTTCTCCTTGAGCAGTGATCTAACAGAAGAGGAAGCTAAAAACCTCCCAATCAAGATGGAGGATTCTTCGGAGTAGTCGATGAACTATTATTAGCAGTGATCATCACAGGTGCATGCATCACATCAGCTTAACATGTCATCAGCCTTTAAATATCATCATACAATGAAGCTTGATGTGAAATTTTGTGGACAGTTAGTGCTGTGCATCCTTTTAAGGCATTCTATGGCAGTGACATCTGATGACTTATACCAAGACCAGTATCATATTGTTGGCTTCATGTCACCCCTTGCTTTGTGATGGCTCTTTCTGTTGTTATACACAGCGTGTTTATTTTGCTGAGTAAAAAGTTTGATTCAGTAGCAATAAAGATGTTTATAACCGCTGTATGGGCATAGTTATCCGCGATCTTTTATTTTTCATGATATTGTGTCTTTTATTTTATCATCGGTTATTCAAGTTCATATCTTTGAATGGAAGGACTAAACTAATTAAAAATAAATAAATATTATATGGATCTTAGATTAATTTTTTTTAAATATGTATATTCTTAAAAAATATTAGGCAATCGTAACTTCGAAAATATTAAGCTATACAATATATATTTGAACTCTATCATTGTCGATTGCAAATGAATAATCAAGGGTCACGACCCCTATGCCCTCACTCGTCGTCGTTCGTGGGTGAGGAAGGAGGGCAGGCAGGTCGTGTGTCCTCGCAATCGCTCATAAGTATCCCTCGTTATCGATCATAGGCGAGGAAAGAGTTTGGCTAGGCCCACTCGTGAAGATGACCAACAACGCTGTGAGTAATGGATGACTGTTCAAGATAAAAGCATGGTTAAGTGCGTTAGTTAACTCGTGTGTGAAGGCATAAAATGCTAAAGATTCGTGGCCCCTACTCTATGTTCTTAGCAAAGGGGAAAAGAGTTAGAGCATTGATATAGGGTTGAGGTAGTAATGGATCCGACAAAAGTAGAGATAAAGCGATGTTTTAATGCACGAAATAGGTACTCTGTTTAAATTTTTAAAAGTTAAGATGAAGAATTTTTGAAAATTAAAGTTTTTTTCTAAATATTTATATATCATTCAGGAAGGGAGTAGGAAGGAGTTTTTCGTTTATAATGCAGTTGAATTCTTTCTTCAAAATAAAAATAGGCTGACAGATACACCATCCAAGCCTGTGGTCTCTCTCGAAACCATTTGGTTCGTGTATCTCTCGAAGGTGGAAAAAGTGGTCTCACTATTCTTCGTCCCATATTGTTAGTTTTTACCTATTTTTATGTCTTTATATTACTTTATGAAATACGTATAATCATCGAACCGACTCGGACGAGTCGACCGCCTTTGCCGAAGCTAAGCTTGATCCGGACCGTAGGATCGTGCGCTCTCACGGTCCAGATCAAATCTAGCCAGTTGACTTGCGAGTCGGCTCGGCACAGGCGGTCGACCCGTCCGAGTCGGCTCGAGATTATCGTGTCGACTCAACGTCTTCGTATAAAAGACCAAAAGCGGAGGCGGCGTGCACGGGAAGCCACGAGACGAGCGAGCCCTAGCAGATTCTCTGCCAACGTCGCCGGCCGATTCACCTCCTCTCGGCCACTGCCGGAAGCCGCCTCCTCTTGCCGGTACTTTTCTCCTTTCTCCTCCCGTCTCCTTTCTCGTGTCTTCTCCTCTCTCCCACACTCTCTCGTCTCCTCCCCCCTCTTCACCTCTCTGCGCTCTCCTCCCATCTCTGGTCATGAAGGAAACAGTACTGCGTTCCTTTTGTCTTGAGGCCTGAACTTTTCCTTTCTGAGGTTGTGCGTTATGCAATGAAGATGTAAATGGTAAATCGGGATTAATTGCTTTCAGTGTTTTATCTTATTTCTGTGATCTTCTTTCTTTCCCAAGATGAAAAGTGAAGTGGACTTTATTGCAGATGGAAGCTGTTAGTATCTCTGTATCTTTTCCTTACATTTTACATCATCCATTACTCGTGCTGGTTTGACCACAGAGTAGCAAATTGGATTTCAAAAACCCGAGGAAAAGCAACTCAGATGAATTGAGAGTTGATTACAGGAACGAATTGGAGAGAGTAGTCGTGGGATTCAATGAGAACCTGACATGTTTTGTCTAGTCTTATTTCTTGTCGAATGGTGTCAAAATGATCCAAAGTTAGAACTTTGTTATTGTTGATCCCTTATGCATTGTTGATAAATGAGGTATCCTTTTGGCATTGGAACATATTAATTAGCTCACCGTTGCTTAATTTTATATAAAATGGTCTCAGTGAAAGTTCAAGGTTTTTCAAAGAATCGACAGTCATTTTGAATAGAACTTTGCCGTTGTGGATTCAGCATATTTTTGATATACCATATTCTTTGTCTATTCTCTTATTCATGTTTTTACTTCTCCCATCCCTATTTCACTACAACATTCTTCTTGTTTATGAGATTCTTCTTGTCAAGGCATGGCTATAATGACATCAAAGGGCATTTATTTCCTTGAGGAGTTTCCAAGGAAACTTAGAAGTTAAGCTAAGTTTGATGTTCTGATAGGGAACATCATGAACTTTGAGAGCAGTTACTTCAGTTCTTTCATTATGTGCACAGGAAAATAATTGATATTATCATTTGTTCCTTATCCAAAAAATGACTCTTTGTATGTGGTTTTAGCAAAAAGATTTTTTTTTCTTTTTCTTTCCAGGTATTGGCAAGTTATAGATGTTATATTCCGTTTGTTATACATGAAACATTTTCTTGATGTAGAAAAAGGTCTGTTTAGTTAGTTGGCACTATCCTATTTCGCATGATAAAACACACCAATTTATTCAAATGTTTAACACCGAATGGCACCGTCATCAAAATCATGATTATGTTAACAAAGTAGCACAAGATATCAAAGTTATTTGCTAATCGTAGAAAGAACATTTGTGTAATAGTCTCAAGTCTCAACTCTACAGTATATCATGATTATTATTTACAAAATTGATTAGTCCATCGACTTGCCTGTGTGTCTTTTACATTTCTTCTTGAGAACATGATTCTCAGATACACCTGAATTCAACACTCCTCTTGTGTTATGCAACACGGTAATCGAGGTGGCCGCTCTTTCTTATTGTCTTCTGTTTTACTGGTGCTTGTTGGGTCATGCTTCCTTGATTTCTGTTTTGCATTAGAATGTACTTTTTTTTTCATTGTGAGGAAGGTACAACTTAGTGACAAGAAAAATTAAATTGTCTATATTTAGAACTTTCATGACAGAAATTGTTGCCTGCACAAGGCAGCACCAGCATTGCTCCCTCTCGAGCATGTCCATTTTTGCATGCAGATGTTTAAAAACTTAAGCTGCACTTTTTCCACTTAATTGACAACAAGCTTTTTTTAATGGGAATTGGCATGTAATTTATCTGTGCAGACATATAGAAGCATAAGTTGCTCTTCTTGCACTTAATTTACAGCATGTTATTATCTTGTCTTTTGACATTTTCTTTCCTTTGTGCAGATTACTCTATCTCGGTCGAATTATCCTACCCCATAATTTTTTCAAGCGCGATTGTCTACACTTCCTTGTGTGCAAGTTATTGCTTTTGAATACTAATACAAGATGGTTAATGCGATGAAGGGCCTCCTGATTTCCTGGTAACTTCCAAGTTTCATATTGTCCATTTTATGTCATTGTTCAGACTTCAGACAGTATATATGGACTTTTCTAGCATTGAATTTGTGTTACTCATTGGTAACTTTTGCTTGCCAGTGATATACCCATGACACAATTCATCATTAGCTTCAATGCTTCACTTCCTCCTTCACAGAGGTTCATCCTACACGTGCTTGACAATACACACATGTTTGTGCAGCCTCATGTGGCCGAGATGATCCGAAGCAAGATTTCAGAATTTAGGGATCAGAACTCTTATGAGAAGCCACTATGATCCATTTCGAATTCTCCTTGTTGGCAAGAGAAAAATAATATGCCCGAGATTTGAATCAAAACTCATCTTTAAACTTGATTGACAATGTAGCAAACTGGAATTTGTGAATGGATGTCTATATTTGGCTTGCTTGATCTTGAACTCGATGCTGATACAAGTGATTTGGTCCAAACCTTATGAACTTGGTTCCAACCTTGAAGGCTTTTTGGATCAGTGCTCTGTATTACTGTGTTATAATTCTTTTTGTGGTTATGGTTTTGCTCCAATGCTGTTTGTTACACTTGAACAATTAGAAGACTTTCAAGCTTGTACTTTAGCTGCATTAATTTCTTCACTGCTGTTTTACGCGAGTATCTGTTCATATCAGTTCAATTCATTAGCCTCATTTTTCCTATTCTTTAGTTGACAACCACAGTTCCATGCTCCTTTTAGTTCTTGTTCTTTCTATTATTTTGTTTGAGGGTGATTGGGAATCTTAAAAGTTTTAAGTTGTTAAGGACGCATATAATATATGTTAAACTTTGACTAACACGTGAAACTAAATCTGTAAGCTAATTAGTGAAAAAATCTATTAATTAAATATTTTGATATCATAGTACATGTTTTAGTTGGATGATTGTATAATATTAAATATTTTACGTGGGACCAATCATATAGGAATTAGCTTTTGGATGATCTGTCCAAAAAATAAAAACTTCATTTTATGAGCTTTTATTTGGAGTCTCAATTTTAAAAAAATACTTCTCATTGTTGTCCTCACCATCGAGGTATCGTCCTCATTCTCATTGTTTCTTAGGATCTTTCATTGTCATCATTATCACATACGTCTTGCTTTTACGAAGGTCTCGTCATCCTCACTATCATCTACACCCCCAAGATATTATCGTCTAGCACCCTCTTGAACACCTTTGCTCCGTCATCCACCTCCTACTTCCAATGCTCGCTCCATGCTTGTGCCCTCGAGAAGAGAAGATAAGAAGGCAAGGTAGAAATGGACATGTGAAGATGATAGAGCAAAGGTGGTGAGGACGATGAAGAGGAGCCTCGTATCCCCATCTCCAGGTGAACATGGCCATGCGAAGACGATAGGGTAATGAGACAATGAGACCTCCGTACATGGGGCAAAGGCAACGAGAGACCTCATATGGCTTGCGAGGACGATGATGAGCATGACGATGATGATGACAACGGGGTGGAGGCGACAAAGGGCATTTACAAAATTACATGAAATAGGAAATTATCTTTGAAAATAAAATTTTGGGATATATTCTTAAAAAAACCCCAAAAGAAAATTTTAAGAATTTTTTTTATGAACATATGGAATACTGTTATAATATCTATCACATAAATTGACTAGGAGATAGTGAAAGGGATTACCCAGTCAAACACTAACCATTAGTTGTGGACTCATCCCCACCCCCCTCTGAAACTCTTTTGTCCTCCTCAGCTATATAGAATCAAAACGAAGAAAAGATGCTTATCACACTAATCATCAAGCAGAATAAAAGAAATATTGCTAATAATAATAACAACAATAATATTTACGAGAGAGAGAGAGCCGTAGAATACAAAATGCAGAACACTGGTGAGCTTCGAGTAGAGTTGAAAGAACATGTCATGACTCTACGCTGTGCGAGTGATCCGATTCAACGGGTGGCACGGTTGAGCTGCCCGTCTCTCATTGATCCAAGAATCCAGAGAATTAGATACTAATCGTGACATACAAAGAAGAAGAAATGCCAGCAATAAGGATCCGTGAAGAAAAGTTGATGAAGATGCGAAGCGTTTCTTCTCCGATCCATCAAATCAACAGATGTTGTTGAAGTCACAGTCCTCCAGGTTGCCGTTGGCGAATCTCGAGGATGAGGAAGAAGAAGAAGAAGAAGAAGAGAAGGAGATGAGGCAGAGGACGTCCTCGAAGAGGGACTCGTCGCAGGGGAGGGCGATCGGGCCGGAGCGGGACGGGAAGCCGTACTCCTCCTCGGCCTGGCGGAGCAGCTGCCGGAACACGGGGTGGTTGAGGTGGGTCACCCGCACGACGAACCGCCGCGAGCTGCTCCCCACGCACACCGCCACGTGCCCTAACGGCACGTCCGACGGCGCCGCCCACCCGCTCCTCCTCCTCCTCGACGACGTCATCGCCGCCGCCGCCGTCACCCTCCACCGCCGCAGAATCTGCCGCAGCCATACCACGTGCCTCACCCTGCTGCACCTCCCCATCGCTTCCTCCCTCTCTTCCTCTCCCCTGCTGTGGTACTGGAGGGGAGGGATGAAGAGTGGGAGAGACAGGGTCTTATAGGGAGAAACTCCCCATGGCCGGAGAGAGATTAGAGGCATACGTATCTATCATAGATAAGCCGGACAGTGATAACCGATGCATTACGAAGAAGTTTGCGAGTAAATCTTCCTGCAGCTTGATGGTAACTGATATCGACTAAGCTGTCGTTCAGATAGCTTTTGTCAGCTCTCGACATTGTCAAGTGTGCGTTGGTGAAGGTGACGGGTTACTTCCACGGACGGTTAAGTTTGAATCAAATCGAATCAAAATTAATAATTCGAATCGAAATCGAAACCATCGACTTGAAAAAGCTGATGCAAGAGAGGATCCAGCACGGATTCCACACACGAAAAAGGTGGAGCTTTCATGCTTACGCCAGTAGTTACGCCATTGCTGCCGATGAAAGGGTCGATCCCAGCGGACCCCTTTCGGCTGTAAGGAAGAAAAAAGCAGGATGGAGATGGGAAGATGCGTGGGATCGACCGAGACGACTAGTGCTGCGGAATCACCGATGATTCCTCACCCACGTGCTGCGACTCCCTCCCACACACTTCGCCTCCCATCTGTCTGTCTGTCCGTCCGTCCGTCCGTCTCCATGGCTTCTGACATGACCTGCGTGCTGCTCTTTCTTACCTTGGTATTACTTACTTTGGGCGAGGGAGGGAGGGAGGGGAGGCGTCGCATGCTGCGTTTGCCGGAATGGTTGGCCCTGGAACGAGCGTCGCCTCCGCTGCTGGATGTTTCCTGCTTTACCCATGCACTGGGGCAGAAGAACGGGCAACGGAGAGTTGGTGTTCACCGTCACTACTTTTGGCGAAGACTACTAACAAGCAGCGGTTGCTGGTCGCAATTCAGTTTGACGGTGTCTTCGCTAGTAGCGTTATCCCCCCAAATCAGATCAAAATTAATATCAAATTAGGTCAATGTTTGACGGTGTCTTCGCCGATTCGATTCATATCATATCGATCCATAGCCGAAACCAAATCGGATCGATAGTTCCCGATAACCATTCAAATACAGAGAAAATTCTCTAACTGCGATGACAACTTCGATATTGATTCTTCTATTCCATAGTTCATCATCTCAATTGCTTCCGTCTTGAACGCACGGACAACAATTTAGGTAGCTTCGACGAGGTCGAGTAGAACTACGGTAAAGCTTTTTTGCTTAGGCTTCGCTGGATCTGTTCTGCTCATCACGCTCACGGAGCTTGTCGAGGACGAAGGCTTGGAACAGGTGAGAGTTCAACGTCCACAGTAGAGAGGGAGCCATGTCGCCTAAATTATTGTGCTCTGGTGCTCAGCAAACGACAGGCCAAATCCCGGACTAAAAGAAACACTGCGAGTCGAGTTCGTCATGTGCTAGTGTCCGTGATTTGGAGCCTCAAACCACTCTCTTCTCCTCTTCCTTCCTCCCTCCTTCCCTCCCTTTGGCGCGCAAGCAATCGCAGTCTCATATCTTCCTTCGTCCCGCCATCTCCACATGTTATCTAATATATTTTTCTTCTTCTTCGGCCAATCATAAACCTTCTCTTTAAATAAATAAATAAATATATATATATATAATTATAAATTATAAATTAATTAATCGATTAATCTAATCAGATTAATTTGTTTGGAAATGGTTTAATTAGATAAATCTAAATCGATTCTGATTCAAACCTATCTTACTTTAATTTAATCAGAATCAAATAAATTTTTGATTAATTACGGTTGGACCTAAACAGTTGGGTAAAAACGGGTTCGAACTGCCCTCCGAATGGATGATTCCCATAACAGAAAAGGATCGAACTCGACTCTTCGGCCTACGTGGCACGGTCGTTCAATCTGAGCTCACTGTTCAGCATGGCACGTGACGGCGGCATGTGAACCCCCACTCGACGGATAACTCCGCGTCGCGATTCGGTGGACGACAGCTCTCGCCTCCGTGGCGTCATCTTCTTTTCTCGTTTACGCCCACCACAACCAGTCTCGTTTGTACCCCCAACATACCCACTGCGCTGGCTTGTTTGTTTGATGCCCTCCCGGATCTAATCCACGAAGGCATGCACTTCTACTGGTGGGTCCCGATACTGGTCCAATTACATTTCGGGTAGCTCGTGACAGAAGACGTTTTTGCTGCTTTCGTCATATGGAAATGCTTCTCGTACCCATAAGTAACCAAGAGATCCGTGTAGGTGATCAGGACCGTCGAAGTCTTCCTACGTGTTGTGATTACCAGCGTAATGCTTATGGGTAGCTTCAGGGTGTCCGTAGCGGGTGCTCTGTTACAATTGTCAACCTGTGACGACGCTTTTCGAGAGGAGAGGGCGACGAGGAGACCGACAACGATCTCCTCCTCCCTCTGAAACCGCGGCTAAAGTAGAGCCAGTCTTAGCGTCTACTCTCTCTGTTTCGAAGACACGAGAGAGCGAGAGAGAGAGAGAGAGAGAGAGAGCAGCGGCACCAGCCGAAAGAGCTCACTCACTCTGCTGCCAGTTGCAGCTATGGGCTCCGTCTCCCTCAAGATCGGCGATGGCACCGCGCGCTTCCGGCGAGCCACCCTCTGCTCCTCGGCCGTACACCTCCTCATGCTTGCGTCCGTCATCACCACCAACCTCTTCGCTCTCTACGCATTCACTGCCGCGCCGTCCCCGTCCTTCTCATCCGCCCCGTCCACCGTCCCCCACCCAGGCGCCGGCGTGGGCGGAGGCCACCGCAACCTCTCCGTCATCTCCGAGCACGTCGCCCTCATTGTCCGCGAGATCGAGGCCTCGGAGCGCCGCCTTCACCAGATCGAGCGCGAGCTCGCCGGGTACGACACCCTCGACCCCGCCAAGCCCTCCCTCCCACCGGAACTCAGGCTCTTCCTTGCCCACCACCGCCTCCCCCTCGGCCGCGACGCCCGCTCCGGAATCACGGAGATGGTCGCCTCCGTCGCCCACTCCTGCTCCCGGTCCCCCGCTGCCGACCTCCTCGCCCGCTACATGTCCTACAAGCCCGCCGCCCTTTGTCCCGCCGACGACCCTTCCCTGCCCCAGAAGCTCATCGCTAAGGCCTGCGAACCCCTCCCCCGCCGCCGCTGCCTATCCCGCCCCACCGCTCCCGCTGCTACCGCCGCTCCTCGCCTCCCCTTTCCCCGGTCTCTCTGGAGCCCTGGCGTCAAGAACCCGGGTGCCGGCATGTACGGCCTCGACAAGCAAATGTGGATCACGCCAGGGGGAAAAAACGATTTCTCGATCGACGATGTCCTGGCCCTCGGCAGTGGTGGGATCCGGATCGGCTTCGACATCGGAGGCGGAGCTGGGAATTTTGCGGCCAGGATGGCCGAGAGGAACGTCACGGTCGTCACGTCCACCCTGGAAATAGGGGGCAAGCCGATGAATGAGTTCGTAGCAGCTCGCGGCCTCTTTCCGTTGCTCCTCTCGCCGACGCAGAGATTTCCATTCTATGACTCAGTGTTCGATCTGGTGCACACGTTGAACGCCCTCGACGAGGGTGGCGCTCCAGCACTGGGGCAGGCCAGCCGCACCGAGGCACTGGAGTTCCTGATGTTTGACATCGATCGGGTTCTCAGGGCCGGGGGTCTGCTATGGCTTGACAACTACCTCTGCACTGATGATGAAAGGAAGCGCATTGTCACCAAGCTTATAGAGAGATTTGGGTACAAGAAATTGAAATGGGTGGTGGGAGAGAAGGCTGATGCGAGGAACACGGCGAAGACACAGGTCTACCTCTCGGCCGTGCTGCAGAAGCCTGCGAGAGGTTGAACTGTATCACTGCTGGTGGAGGAGAAATGCTAGCAAGGTACGATGGCTGGTTCGATTTGATTCTTCGATGCCCTTTGTTATGGTTATATTTGCACCAATTTAATTCCTTAGTCAGTCATTTGATGGAATTCATAATATTAGCATTGTAATGGTACTTCTCTTAGTTTAACATATAGGTTGCTGCCTGAGAGGAGTAGAGTTACTAGTTATGTTTTCAGGAGGATAATGCCACCATGTTCAAATATTCTTATTTCATAGATCTTTAGCACTTATCGTTTTCAATGTCAGGTACTCAATTTTACTACTGTATAGAAATGAGGTCTTAGGCTGCTGAGTGTAGGCATACATAAAGGTTCATCATCCTTTCTAATTTCCATATTCTCAAACATGATGACCTGAACATATCCTTTTTCCAAATTGAGGATCACATCAGTGCAAATATAATAATCAAGGTTCGGTTTCAACAGTTGTTTTGGCGCAGCGCTCAAAGTTTTACTTTCAATAGTTTCATGCCTTTGACATTCTCAGCCAAGTTGTGGAGTTTCGGGGTAAGGGTTCCAAAGATCTATATATGTGACTGCATCAGACACTCTTTATTAACATGTTACCTGTCAATTTTAGAAGCTTTATGATTGAGAATATGAGGTTTATGGTTTGTAGGGGTTTGTTAGTTAATGCCTTGATAACCACCTTAGATGCTATAGGTATTTAAACTTCTGTCCTGGCAGAGGCTTTTTATTTTGGATGAACTAATTTTAAGTATTTTTCTTTTTATTTTTCCTGTGCAACCCCTGTCACTCCTGCAAAATATGCTTCTTGAATATTCATCAATTACTTAAAAGCATATTTAACAAAATTGCAAGACAAAGGAACTCCGGAATAAAATTTGTTTATTATCCCTGTGATTAAAGTCGAATTCGGTTAGTTTTGTGTTGAAGTGATGACCTTAAATCAACTCCTCTAATTAACTAACAAAACTTGAAACTTGGATGGTAGATCATGGATCTCCACTATGGGGAGAATGGGGTCCAATCTCTCTCCTGTGCAAGCTGCAGATTTCTCACTTTATGAGGTTAGTGGGTTTAAATAGGTTGAAAAGGAACTCTTTGTTCACCTCATTCAGAAAACAGGGAGAATTGTAGAACTTCTTTGAAACATGTTTCAAGTGTAACTACTTATGCCTGCCTAAAAATGAGCCAAGATCTAATGAGACCAATCTTTCCTTGATTAGGTTGTAAGCCTGCTAGTGTTACTCTATATAAGGGAAAGTTCCAAGAAATGTCTACATAAGAGGGATGAACATGCAAGTACTGTGTACTTTAAAGTACTAGGAGCTTTTTTTCTTGATAGTAACGGCAACGAGAAACAAATTCCTGGTTATATCACATATTTAATGTCAACATAGTAAATTCTATTTTTTGCTCCTTGTACTTATAAAGAGACAAAGGTAGTCCTGCATTGTTATTTGACGTTATTGATCTCGCTTGCAATGCGCAAAGAGTATTTTTTATTGATTTTCAAGTTATACATGTCGACTGCATTTTGTAGAACGAGGTTGGACCCGATATTTGTTTAAATTGGTACTGGCCACTGGGTGTAGAAGTAGGAATTACATATCCACTATGCTAAACCTGGAATATAGCTTTTATTCCGTCGTACATTTTGTCTACTTTTTCAACTTTCATCTTCTTCCTTATAAGAGCATGACATTCATTTGTACCTGCATCCCGGTTGACCCCAACACCTGAGTTTTGGTCTCCAAAGCATGGTATTCAATGGTCAAAATGGCAATAGCATAAAATCTGGATACTCCTATTCGTTGTATTTATTCAATCTACCATTAATTTGTAATTAAAGGAACTTTATTATATGGTGAATCTTGCTCTTAACCAATATGTTTTCAATAGGGAAACTTGAACACTGAATTCTTTCAGTATACATACTTGTTAGCATATCATTGTAACATTCATCATATATTGTGTAATGATTATCATGCTTATTATTGATTTTCTTACTTCATTGTTTAATTGAATCATTTTGTCCTTGTCCTTGTACTGATAGGATCTATTCCAAAAAATCATGAGTTCTTACTTGAATCAATCTTTTAAAATATTAGATGATCCCTTTTCATACTTGGGTGCCAGCATTTCCCCCTACTTTGCTGATGAGTCGATTGTTTTTTTTTTATGACTCATGTCACATTCTTCAATAGGAACGGCAATGTGTACCAGCAGTGGCCGAAATGCAAGAATTGCAAGACCGTCTAGGCACATGATCAATTTGACGAGATCTTTTCACGAGCGACATTGATTAGGCTTTGCCAGCTGCTGATGTCCATCATCTCCTCTTAAGTCGACATTGTATGACAAAATTGCAGTGGCTCAAGGTGTTTAGACTGCACATTTCACTGCTTTGTAGTCATATAAGAAGTTCATGGTTGTCCTTCAGTTTTTGGAGAGTACTTATCTTCAGATTCATTCCTCGAGACCAATGTTACCACCCTGTTGCTTCCAATAAAAGATCCAGGCTAGCACAGAACTGTATTACATATGTATGCAGCCTGCTTACAGCTTTCATAGAATTTTATTGCAACACAAGCAAGCATTCTGCTCCAATACATTAAAATGGGATTTTCTCCTTGTTCTTTAATCCAATCTATCTGCATTGCTGCTGCAGTTGTTACCAATTGCAATTCTGTAGTTTACTTTCTTGTCTTTCATTAGGGAAATTGTTAATTTGCTGATGCTGCCTTTATGCAACTTTATATTGCAATTAATTTGCTGCCCCCCCCCATCCTTCAGTCCTCATCTGGTAGGCCTTCATCGATGGCCCTTTTTCTGGTTGGTCATCAAGAGGTCACCATCTATTTATCAAGAACTCTATAAGGTAAAAATAGTATATTATGGTTGAATTGCTCGTATCAAAAAAGAAAAAAGCGAAGAAATAAACCGACTAAGGAAGATCGATCCATTCGATCGTCATCGATCAATCGATTAGACAAAAGAAAAGAAGCGATCGCTTCTATCGATCATTGTCGATCAATCAGTGCAAGAGTGGTTCCTTCTTCTCTCGATCATTGTCGATCGATCAGTGCAAGAGTGGTTCCAAGATCTATCTTCGATACCACAGTGAGACAAAATCAAGTATTGCTTATTCCATTGAGATCATGACTATGACATACAACTGATCGGACATGGCCATATGAGATGATACCTTAATTGATCGAGTGGGAAGAAATGTGTTGATCCCAAGGTTCGATCAAATGAGTTTACGTAATAGTCGAAGGATTGGGTTCTGGCCAAGACCAAATGCCGAAGGAGCTTCATCCAAGAGATATAGGCTAATTAAGGATCCATAGATAATTTTCAAAGAAGCCATCAAATATTTGGACCTTTGCCTTAGTCGTCTCAATTTGGATTCTCAACGTCCTATGATGTCTTCCAAAAGATTTGGCTGAGTAATAATGATCTTTTGCTGATATCCACCGCTTTCTTTAACGGTTAATTATATATTACTATCCTTAAGTTCTTATATTTTAAAAAATTATATTAATATTTTTATAATTATAAAAATTATCATAATGTTATCGGTTTTATTAACGAAAATATAAAAACAATGAACAAAAATATAATTTTAACATTTCAATTGGTGGTTACGGACGATATTGCTAGGGGCCATGGGTGACTATTATGGATGAGGAGAGCAACGACGAGAGGTGAGAACTGCTCTGCATTTGTGTCGATGTTGACACAGATGCAGAACTACAAAAGGGTCGCTGATGTAAATGTCGAGCACTCACATCTTATCGTTACTCTCCTCATCTACAATAACCACTTGTGACCTTCAACGATGTCGTCGTCAGTCACCACCAAATTGAACATTAAGATTATATTTTTATCTTTTATTTTTACGTTTCACTAGTAAAACTAATATCATTAGGAAAATAGATCAAAATGTTTGTCTTTTGAAACTATAAGAATGTTAATATAATTTTAAAAAAATATAATAATCGAAATAATAAATATAATTAATTAGCACGTTATTTAAGCACTTGTATTCGTTTTAGCTTTGGAAAAAGGCTTGGAGTTGCACAACCACGGTGTCAGCTTCCTCGATCTCCACTCCTTGCAAGTTCAATTCCCTCAGCTCTGCCTGCGACCACAAACAAGCATTAGAAAGCCAAATCTAAAGTAGCAGTAGCACTAATTGTTCTAAAACTTCAAACACCAGTATTCCTTTGGGAAGCTTCCAAACGTTTGTGGCAAACAGGAATCATCATCCTCGACTCTGCAAGCACGTTCTCCTACTCATTGGCAACATAGCGTCAATCAAGGGTTTGTTTAAATGGATCGATCAAATCGTCACACAAAGTTTGAGCTCAGTCTCATTCCTATGTCCTTCGGTCATCCCGTTATCACAAATAATTCATCTCAGATTTGAAGTTCTCAATAGCATAGCCTTATTAATAGCCAACCTCGTCATGATCAATTACGTGTTTGTATAGGGAACACATGTTTATCATATCATTAAATGCCAAAGTTGTTGGCCTTACTTACGATCCTAAGTTTACATGTCTATAACACCAAAAAAAATTCGATATGATTTATTAGAATACATTAACCATTCTTTTAGTTATCCATAGAAAAGATCTAAATATCAAGAAAATCCATCTTAATGACATATCCTTATAGCTACGACAAGATCATTTTATTCTATGAGTGATTTAAATCTTAGTCATCAATTTCATGTCACCACTAATCTCTTCGTGTAGTACTATAGCATAAGCACGGTCTAAATTATAAATCATTCTCGCACTCACATGTTACGTATTTTATCTACTTTGATAAAAATAATATAAGAGGAAAGTGTATATAACGTAAATTATTATAGATGATTTGATTTTAATAGATCATCTCTTCTTGAGTGATGAAGAAGTTATTGTTTATACTCTCAATGACTTAGGAGATAAATATAAGGAACTTATGGTAATAATTCGGGCATGTGACTCATCAACATCATTTGAAGAACTATATAACAAGCCGATTGATCATGAAGCATATTTAAAACAAAAAGAGAGGAAGACGAGATCAACTATTATATCTCAATTTAATTAAAAATCTAAAGAAAAAGATAATCAAAGCAACAAGAACTTCAATAAAGGATCGAACAAGATGTCTTCCGGAAATGTGAGTAATCTACAAAGTTATCATCATCCATTATACTAATAACTCTCCAACCATTGTAGCAACTTCAATTCAAACAATTCAAGAAATAACTTCAACTACAACTATCAGTAGTTCTAACATTCCAATAATAATAATCAGTAAAAAATCATCTGCCAACTCTATGACAAAATTGGACATACAACAAAAATTTGTCGATCTCGACCCAAGCCTATTACCACACCCAATTAGCCTCAAGCAAACATCATGACTACTTCGACTACTTATCAAAATAATTGGATTATTGACCCCCGTACTTCTTATCGTATCACTTTTGATTTATAGAATTTATCTATCCACATTGATTATAGAAACAATGAAGACATGTGATGGTAATGGAATCCATATCATTTACACTAGATCCATAATTCTTAATTCACACAAGTATTTTTATACTCAAATGATATTTTATGTGCATCTTATATCAAAAGAAATTTTATTTTTGTCTTTCAATTATGCAAACAACATAACATATTTATTGAGTTCTTTCCAAAATAATTTCTTGTAAAAGATCTGAACACAAGGGTATCCTTGGTCCGAGGCTAGAATAAAGGCAACATCTATGAAGATCATTAGTTTTATAAAACACTTAGCCAATTGCTCTTACTTCAATTGTTGCTCTAATTGATATATGGTATTATCATCTTGGTCACCCATCATCCTTCATTCAACAGTAGCTAATTTTTTATTACTCCCTTCTAACTTCCAAATCAAGTAGAATTATAACTCAATGCTTGCCTTAGCAATAAAAGTCACATACTACCTTTTGGAATGTCATACATATCCTACTCTAAACAACTTGAAATCATTTACACTAATGTCTAGGACTCTACTCCAACCACTTCATTTGATAATTTTTTATTTTATATTATTTTCATATATTACTTCACTAAATATAAGGTCAATATAGTCTTTACTTATTTTATAAGAGGGTCGAGAACTTATTCCAATCTACCATTAAAATAATAAACTCTCATGAATGAGGTGAATGCCATGTTTTAATAACTTACCTCTCATCATTCGGTATATAACATCTCAAGTCATCACCACACACACCTCAACTAGTTGGTGCTATTGAACGAAAGTACCAATATATAGTTGAGAATGGTCTCACTCTCCTATACCAAGCCTTCATGTAACTAACCTTTTATCAGTAGCTTTTTAAACTATAGTCTACCTCATTAACCACATACTCATCCCAATCCTACGATACCAATCATCATTTGAAAAACTATTTTACAAAACCTCAAATATTCAAAAACTCAAAGTATTAGATAGTTTATGTTATTCCATGCCTCTATGCTTCACACAAGTTAATACCAAGATCCAAACCTTACATCTTCATTGGGTATGCTTTTCAGTGCTATGATCCTCAAACTTCAAAGGTTTTTGTATCACATCATGCTATTTTTATCGAGTCTACATTTTTCTTCAACAATATGAGTCACTGCAATAATTATCTATCACTAAATTTATATAAGTACATCTCAAACACTCTTAAGTGTGTCTCTCACCACATCAATCAGTAGTTCTCATCTAGACCTGTACTACCTTATTACTCTAGTTTAGCAACACCTCATCGCCTCTGCAACTTTTTTATTTACCTCTCCATCAACTCATTCTACAATGCCCGATGAAGTAATACCCTTGGCACAACAAATGATGTCTTTGTCCTAGTCAAGTGACACTAAAGTGCATTAGCTTAATTAAGGAACATGTCATTAACTCTTCATCAATTCTTATACATTTAATACAACTCAATAATACCACCGAACCTAGACATCATATGATAATACACTCCAAAAATAACATATTCAAACCACGTCAAATCATTGATCTCCATGTTACTATAAGCCCTCCACCTGAGCCTACTGAACCCATAACTATCATCCAAGCTTAAAAATCTCTACGGAATATGATAACCTACTTTATAATACCACATGGATCATAATATCATCTCATATCATATAAAATATCATCGGTTGTAAATGGACCATTTGAATTAAACGGAACCCAGATGGAATCATTGCTAGATATAAAACACATCTAATGACCAAGGGGTTTCACCAACGACCAGGTGCTTATTCCACAAAGAACTTCAATCCAATTGTTAAACCGATGTCAATTAGACTCATCTTGAGTTTGGCTATCACTCAAGCCTAGTATATATGACAACTAGATATTAACAATACTTTCTTATATGAGACTCTAATTGAATATATCTTTATATCACAACCCCTTGATTTCATCCACCCTTAATATCTAAATCATGTTTGTAAATTATAAAAAGCTATTTATAAGCTTTGTCAAGCTCCAAGAGCCTTATACACCAAACTTGGTTCATCTTTGATGCCAGTCGATTTCATCAACTCTAAAGTCTAATACCATTTTATTCTTATGATAACAAAAGAGATATACCATATATCTACTAATCTAGATTGACAACATTATCATCACAAGTAATTATTCTATGGAGATCAAGTAATTTTTTAAGCAACCGATAATAACGTTCACTTCTTCTAGATTTTTTATTTTAAAATAAGTAAATTTGAGAGCTATTATCAAAGACGAACATGCAAAATGCCAAAGAAGTTGATACCCTACTCTCCACCACTGAGTCACTTAAATTATATAATGATAGCCCTACTACAATTCCAACATAGTACCGACAAGTACTTGGTTTCTTATAGTATTTATATGTTTTATATCTAAACATTTCATTTGTAGCTAACAAAATATCACAATTTATGCATTGGCCCTCCATTGCATACTGGTCCGTACTAAAACATATTTTGTGATATCTTAAAGAGACTCTCAATTATGGAGTTTTCCTTCATTAAAACTCATCACTTCATCTCTGTGCTTTCGTCGATGCTAATTAAGCAAGTAGCACTAATGATAAAACATCTTCATTAGCCTATATTATCTTCCTAGGAGCAAATCTAATTAGTTGGAACTCCAAGAGACAAAGCACAGTTGTAAGATCTATCATTGAAGCTGAATACCAAGCCATCGCCACTACTGTTGCAAAACTTAACTATGTCACCAATCTACTACATGAACTTGACATCGCCTCCAAATCCATTCCTACAATATATTGTAATAATGTCTATGCTACCTATTTATATGCTAACTCGGTGTTCCACTTATGCATGAAACACATTGTCATCAACTTTTATTTTGTTAAAGATTAAGTTATCAGACACCAACTATATATTTCTTACGTCTATACTTTTGACCAACTAATAGATAGGATATTTCAGTTGTATCGATCCAAGATTAGTATCTTTGACGAAAACTCAATCTTATGAGGATATGATAAAAGATCATGACATAAATAAATATGAAATGATAATTTTTGCTCTAATCCTCCGTCTATGATTTGAGGATCTTAAATTTGAATATATAATTTGAGTACATGATTAAGAAAAATATTTTCCTCAATCTACCTCTATTCACGTAAATTCTTCTTATGAGTGGTAGAACAAGTTACTCTTATATAAGAGTCAATTACGGGCAGGAAGTGGTAACGATTTTGACTTACACGATCTGCATAAATATAGGTTACCTCTATTCACCATAAATTCTTCTTATGAGTGGTAGAACAAGTTACTCTTATATCAGAGTCAATTACCTGCAGGGCTGAAGTGACAACGATTCTGACTTACACCAACTTGAACAACAAGCCCTTTGATGCCCTTTGATGGCATCTGAACTGGACAGAAAAGGAAGGGTGTAGACTCCTCAGCAGCCCTAATGGCAATTTGATTTGATTTTCTGGATAAAAAAATCAGATATGCCGGGAAAAAAGTCTTTTTCTTGTATTCTCTAGATAAAAGAACTCCATCTCAATAAATACAGGTCAGGATGCTATGTCTTGATAATTTTATCAGTAATAATTATGTTTTATTTTTACAAATGGTGAAGGCGAGACCTTACTATCATCTGTCAGTCTTTACTAGCCTAGAAAAATATTTAATCTTCAGGGACATGTAGGATTGATAAACTCTAAAAGAGAGTCGAATATGGCCAGTAACTAAAATGCAAGTCGGAAGACACAAACAATCTACATTTTAAGCTCATCCGAGTTCTTGTGAAAAGGAATTAATAATATTAGGTTGTCCTTCTTTAAGTACTTAAGCACATATTTTGGGATATCTTAACAAAATACATTTATCAGTCCAAAAAACTGAAGTATAAATTATTAATAATATATTAATCTAATCCTAATAAAGTAAGTCTCAACCTTTTTCTCGCTTACGGTACTGCTCTTCTTGTTTAGTTTACAACCTCTGTTCCACGCTTTAGCTTCCGTTGACGCCATGCCTGTACAAATGGTGATCGAAATTATCGTGCAGCATGCGAGTGTTGCTGCTGGATACACCTGCCCATGCATTTTTTGCAGGAACTCATTTTCTCCAAACACTATGTGAGCTCACAAAAATGACAGAAACCATTTCATTCAACTCTTATGACCCAAACCAAGATTGGATATTGTCATGCTTCTTAAAGTTCAATATAATATACTTTACAAAACACAATAATTTTCACGTGATAAGTCCTCGAGTACAATTAATTGCTTAAAGTAACAACAAAGACGCCATGGTTACCCATGCTTACCTACATGATCAGCTCTACAATTTACAGAGATTTAACCCTTAGTGGGCAGAGACATGCAGCAACCAGGTAGGGAGAACAGTTCTGTAGCTTATTTGGTCACGAAGTTGAAAAAGAACAAACTTGGGAACTAACTAGTTTGGTTACGTAGATCTTCATCTCACTCACAGGCTTCATATACATAAACGCAAGGCATAAAAGCTCTAAGAAATGAATTTTTTAAGACACAGGTCAGACTGATCAACTTACCAAGGAAATCAACGAAGCAGATTCTTCTGAGGCAAAAGTGTTTCTTGCATGGTTTGTAGACTGATTAGAAGAACCTCCTCTTGAAACTTCGAGTGGTTGCCTGGTAAGAGTTCATGAGGAGTCCGACGCCGATCCCTATCCCAACGCACATTCCCAAGCCTATTCCAAGGCCAACTCTGACACCAGAGTTAAACCATGATAGTTGCTCATCTTCACCTGAGTACCAACCTTCAGGATAGTAGCTGTGCCTAAAAGTTAGATCTGGATCATACTCGTTGGTTTCCCCCTCGGCATCCTGGAATGGTTTTACATTACTCAAGCACTTGCTAATTTAGGATACTCAGCTAAATTAGTTTCTTGAAATTAAAAAAAAAAAAGTGAAAGTGGAAAGTAATAAAAGGGATAATTTGTTGCTACCAACTTGCACCATCCTTGGATGTGTCTCTGAACAGAGAAGAGAAAAAAAATGGTGCAAGTAATTCACTTTAACATTCAACACGAATACACATTGCATGATGTAGAGATCTTTTAGGTGAGGCATTCCAAAGCATTGTTGGGAAGAAATTTCAACTGAAGACAAAAGCATGTTATTGGTCCTTCTCTACCTCTTCCTCTTTTCTTTCTATCATATTCCTATTTCATTCTCCTCTCTCTTTCTACATCCTCGATCGAGTCCCTCTTCTGCAAATGATGCCGGTATCATTGTAATCTCAACCCAACTAAGATGTCACTGTTATTCAAAAGTGTTTTGAATATAAACTTGAAGAAGACTAAATAATCTTATGGTCATAACTGGTGATCATGCAAGCCAGACAACCTTCAGGAAAATAATTTGAAGTTGCAGTTCAGAAGTCTTTGATTTACCACACCAAAAGTTCCAAAATTTTGGATCTAATGATCTGAAAATACTTGGCTGATAACACAGTTGATCTGTGCCTTTATCATACTCATCAACATCATGCTTCACATTCACTCTTTGCGTCAATGATTCATATAAGAAATCATTTATAGATCACCAGAAAATTATATTTTCCTTTTGGTCTCTGGTCCGTAACACATTTAAAAACAAAGTAAAAGTCACCTAAAAATGTGAATGAATAGCTATAACATCCATGCTTCTTTTCTCATAATCTCTATATTTTTGTACTCTAGTTTAGCAAATTTTAAGTAACCACCACAGCCAAGCATGAAAGCACATGTAGAAGAATAATATTAACCTAAAAAATCATGCCACTGAGGCAGCATATATGAGATATGTTCAACCTATTGCAAATAAAAGAACAGCTCCAACATAGTCTATCATCATGTACATGCTATCATCAAGAAAAATAATATCTGAAGCATATAAGTCTTACAATAGAAGAGAAGATCCATATGAATAACAAGATAATAATAATACAGAGTGCTTACAGTTGATGGTGAAGGCTTGGGATGAACCAAATCGGCGCTGCTCCCCTGCTTCCCACCTGTGGTTTCTTCATCCTCGGGAATTGACTCCAATGCTCCCAGCCTGACAGCCCTCCGCCTGGGGCTGAGCTGAACAGTCTGCGTCAGGATCAAGGGGACCCCGGCGAAGCACCCCGCCACGTAAACCTCGATGGAAGGGGTCGACAAGATCCCGACCTTGTCTGGCTGCACGAAAGCGGAAGACCCAATGGATGCCGCTACGTAGCAATTCATGCTCCATCCGGTCTTGGAATCTGACGGCCCCTGGAGGTGGTCGAGCCCAATCGCTCCGTTGCTCCACGGCGCCTCCATCCTCTCCAGCGAGCCGCAGAGCATCAACTTGCCCCGATCATCGCAGACCTCGAAATCGACGGCCCCGGTGAGCCGGACGCCATCGGTGCTGACGTAGGTCACCTCAGCTGCGCCGCGATCGACGCGGTCGCGGCGGAGGGGGACGGCGGTCCGCTCGGAGGACGGAAGGCGTACCCCGTTGATCTCGAGGGCGGAGCCTATCTCGCGGCGGAGATGGGAGAGGGTGAGGATGGGCGGGACAGCGTCGACGACGCAGGGGGCGACGCGGACGTAGAAGAGGCGGATCTCAAGCCACGACGAGGAAACCGGAGGAGGGGGGGTGGTGTCTCCGTTGGGGAAGCCGAGTAAGTGAAGGTTTGTGCTCCGGCGAGGAGGGGAAAGAGGTGTTGCCGAGGCCGGAGCCGATGGCCGGCCGCTCCGTTCCTCGGCTACCGCGGGCGGCAGTGAGACCGTCATCGGCACGCCGAATTGGGACTTCGCAATCAGCGATTGGAATAGGATTGGTCCACCATCAGATTTGGATTAGGATTAGGGTTCTTGGGATCGAAGGCGGTGCTTGACGACGGAGAACGCGAGGATAGGAAAAGAGGGTAACGAGGTCGACGGCCAAGCCCAATAAAATTAATTATATATATATATATATATATATATATATAGGTGATTTCGATCCAATATCCCGGTTCGGTGTTTTGTCAATGCCTGTGTTATTCAGTCAAAAGCGAACCGAATTCCGTCAATGAACCGGACTTACATTGCAATTGCCATGCAAATCAAGCCATGTTTCCTAAGTGCTCGATCCTGATCTAGTAATACATTGGATTTGTAATCGAACCGGGAAGATGCAAGCCGGTTGAACCGCCAGGTTGGAGAGAACCAGTCGAACCGCGGGTGGTTTATGCACTCCCCGAGCGACGCCGAGCCCGGACAGTCGCTCGACTTTGGGGTCGCTGCCATCTTTACCGATCTTTGAACCTCCTACCAACCATCTAACGGCGTTGCCAGTGTGTTGGCTACGAGCTCTCAGAGGTAAGCTCTGGAACGGGGATAGCTGTTCTTTCGCTAGTTGTTTGCTAAAATCCTTTCGGTAGCATGCAGGTTTTGATTCGGCATTCTAAGTGCAAAAGAACTAGTGTGATTGGGTTTACCCATACGGGCTATTCAATACTACAACTGTCGCCCAAGCATGAAGAGGCCCTCTTCTATGCTTGCTTATAAGAAAACTAAAATCTCTAGACCAACACACTAAACCCTAATATGTAGTCTCTGTTCTATGCCTGTCCCTAATTCTGAAGCCTATGAAGTTCATCAGTAGCATATACTGTTTGGTTTCTTCAATTAATTTCTTTCCTGATGTAAACTTCATGATAATTTTTGTTATAAATTTCAAATTGTGCTATTATATGTTTGCATTAATTTCTTATTTGAAGTTTCTTGGTTGTTTTTCCTTTCTGCATGACAGGGATAGCATACTTGTAGTAGGCCAATAAGATCGTGTGAGCTTCTGGCACTTGCTTAAAGCCTGTTTTTACCGTTTCTCCGCTCCTGAAAGGGGGAAAGAATTATCTTTTCTGGCGGTCAATACAGAAATGGGGAAGAGAAAACGGGTTGAGAACTCTGGTCAGAAGAATGCAGGTGGTGACCACCGTCCATCCACTATCTTTGTTTCCAACCTCCCCTACTCATTCAAGTCCTCGGAGGTATTCATTGATATAATTTTCTGTAGCTTTGTTGAAATTTCTCACTTGTCCGCAACTTGGTCTGAAGCTTATATAGTTTTTGTGGTTCTTCTGTTCATTCTTAGCTAGAGGCATTGTTCAGCGAAGTTGGGCCTGTGAGGCGCTGCTTTATGGTCACTTCAAAGGGTAAGTATCGTGTATTCTTGTTATTTGCAACTGATTATTTAGATTATTATGACTGGTCAGTTGGGTTTTATGATGATTGCTATAGTTTGGAATTAGAAGGAAGTAAGTGTAACTAGGTTCATTAGGGATTGATGTTTGATGCAGTTGGGTTTTTGAGAAGTGATAGATTGTTGGGGCATCTTTCCATGTAGGCTACTGAAGCTTTTGAGTCTAAAATACTTCCTGATTTCAAATTAGCTCCATTTACTCAGCTAATGTTTTGTGCGAATTAATGATAGTTCAAGAATTTTGTTGACATTTGTATACTTTCTCTTTTTGCAGGATCAGAAGTGACCCAGGGTTTTGGCTTTGTCCAATTGTAAGTTTCGCATATAATAGCTGTTTTTAGCACTTTTAGCTAAAGTACAATGCAATAAAAAGCTGCTTCAACTTTTGGAGCTACCACTGAACAAAAAACTTAAAGCTTGTCTAATTACTCATTGTTTTTACTGCCATTATTTGTGATTTGGCATAGATTACAGGCGTGATCCCTTTTTTTATTCCTTTCCAATTTGTTGTAACGGTGGGGCTTGTCATGTCACAACCACCTGTAGCTTGTTGGAGACCATGCCCTTAAAGCCTAAAAAAGCCCTGCTGGTGTGGAACTTAAAGCCCAAGCTTGTCACTTCACTTAAAAAATGACCTTAACTACAATCCTGATCAACAAAAACTTTGAAACTGGTTGAACTTATATGGCCTTTTGTAGTAGTGAACTGCTCCATCTCTGGTATCAATGAATTGTAAAACAAACAGCATATTGTTTGTTTTGGGAGTTGTCAAACAAATCAATCAATTGGAGTAAAGTTTTGCTGTCTTTGTTCTCTTCAAAGATAAACGGTGGTAAAAAAAATCAGGAATGTGGCCTTGTTTCTTTTATTTTTATGATTTGCATAAGTTGCTTGTAATTGAACTAAACTTTATCTTAGACATGTTGATTCTCTGAAGCTCTTGCACTGTTGTGCATTCATAAGCACTAGGAGCAGTGAATGCCAATCTTCATGTAGAATACATCAATACACATAGGACATAGTGACATATTAATATGACATGGGTTCTGGACATGATTTTAATTTTTATGATTCTGTTTTTTTTAATGTCTTTTCAGTGTCTAAAAACCTGCACCGTTAGTCTATGAGTTATTGCCTTTTAGATATTCATTTCCTGTGAAATGATTATTGACTTATTATCAAGTTTTGCCATTTTAGGTACCTGATCCATTTCAGCAATCTGTCGGACTGGTCCTTACTAGTGTACTGACACATGGTACACTGGTGTGTACCGGTGTTTCACAGAGGAAGAAAAAGAGGGAGAAGAGGAAGGGGTGGCGGAGGAACAAAGGAGGAAGGAGGAAAGAAGAAGCAAGAAGAGGAAGCGATGTAGGTGGAAAAAGAAGGAAGAAAAAGAAGAAGTGGTGGAGGAGAAGGAAGAAGAGGAGTAGAGGTGAGAGCATACCTGAGAAGAAGGAACATCGGCAGTGGTAAGGGTAGCAATGTTGTACGCAAGAAGAGGGCTCGCATTCGCGAGCCCTAATTTGTTTTTTATTTCCTTTTTTAATGTCAAGTTGGATAGGCCCCATCACTTTTCCATTTTTTTTTATTTAACTGGACCACCCGAAACAGGGTGATCCACGTACCGGCCCACAACTGGATCGGTATGTACTTCCCATACCATAGTGTTTCAGGTGGTACAGCAGTCTGTGCTTGTTTTTTTTTCTTTTTAAATTTGCATTTGTAAGCTATCTGATGGCTCTTAAATTGTGCTGAGTTTCTTTAGTGACATTGAAATTTTTTGCTGGAAGCAGCCAGTCTTTGCCATCAGTCTCAATTTAAAAAAAAGGGGAAAAAGACTACCACTGTCATTGTATGCAATACTTGATCATCCATTATACTCCTAAATTTGGTTTATGAGTTTCAGTGCCACTGTCGAAGATGCTGAGCATTCAATTCAACTTAAAAATAGGTCAGCTGTCGATGGTAGAAAAATGAGTGTTGGACTTGCAAAGCATCGCCTTCCTCTTGAGGAGCGCCAGCAAAAGGCAAAGAACTGTTACATCACTCTCCTAAACTTGATGCTTAACAGTTTCTTGTACAGTCATAATATTGTGGTCTTGATGATATCTTATTCTGCAGTGCATTCAGAGGATATTGGTACCAAATATAATGAAATTATTCATTTAACAAGTGTCACTGAGCATAAAGGAGGTTCACAGGCACAAGACATAGGAAGTTATACAACAAGTATTCGATCTTCATTCTTTTATTACTATGATATGGTCTTAGAGCCGTTGGTCTTGTCTAAAATCGATAACTGTTGTAGAACCACAAAGAAGCATTGTAGATGATGGCAAAGGAATTTTGTTAGCAAGCAAGGACCCAACTGTTGAATTTCCAGGCTCAGAAAAGCAGAGGTAAAGCTGGTGTTACAACCTTGAGGATCTCATGTATTTGCATCCTGGATTATTTGATAACTACCATACAAATACAATTCAAAAGCAAATTTCATACTAGCAATCAATTTCACTTAATCTGTTCTTTCTTTTTATGTATCATTTTCTATAGTAAAAGCCTTCCTACAGCTATCTGTTCTACCAGCTCTTTAAGAGAAGTTCTTTTCAATAACTCATGGGTGACCTTATGTACTATAACCAGACAAATTTGTTGTGAATCTTTTTAAACATGACAGTATACTATTCATGTACCAGGCAGACCACTGTGAGACGTATAGTATACTATTCATGTATGTCAATGGAATCACATTAATCAAAGTTAAATGCCTTGTATGGGTTTCACTTATGTAGTAAGCATATGAAATATCCACTGTCATTCTTCTCAGAAAAAAAGAAAAAAGGTATTGTTGCTGGTTTTTAGATAATTAACTTGGCTTTGAGATTTGATTTGTTTGGAATTTGGATAACAAAAATTCCAGAATGCTAAAAGAAATTCTTTCAAGTTGTCTGGAAATCAAATCAGATGGTTTATTCTCATGACCTGAAAAATCTAGGTTTAAGTTTGAGAGCTTCTAGAGCTAGTGAAAATAGGGGGTGAAGATGGATTACATTGAAAAACAACATTAATCTTATTAGATTTGCTTGGTTGGATTCCTGAAACTAAATGTGATTTGAGATTGTTTCTGAAAATTATTAGGCCTTGTTTCATATTGCAATCCTTATTGAGACCTTTAAACTTTGAACATATGAATTAATAATCTAAGGGAAGCCATTGCATTACTAAAAGTGTGATAAGCTTGGTTTGCCTTTTTGAATTTGAACAGCTGATTTTTTTTCCCCGTTTTAATGATCTTAAATTCAGTATACTTGCAATTCTTTTTTAGTAAGCTATTGTATCAATCATCTACCTTTTCTTGACATGGACCAGGGTTGCTAGAACAGTAATATTTGGTAATCTAGTTAACTCTGAGATGGCAGCTGAAGTCTTTCGGCAGGCTGGAGAAGTCGGCACCATATGCTTAATTAATTATCCTCTTCCAAAAGAAGAACTAAAACTACATGGTTAGGAGTTTTTTTTTTTATTCCCTTCTATGTGACATTGATGTTTCTATTAAGTTGAATAACTGATCATGTTTCTAAACTAGTAGAAGTCATGCTTTCATACATTGAGTTGTTCTTCCTACAATGCTTCCAACACGTACAGGTTTAAAATTGGGTATGCTGATGTTAGGTTTCCTCTATTAAGATCGGGTTAG